GCCGTTTCCAAGCTGCCATTTCGGCTGCAACAGAGGCCTCGTCCACACTCCGTCCGAGTACTTTTAAATTGGCGTTTACACGCTGAAAACGCAGCAAATGCTTGAATTCCATCCGTTCTAAGCCCGAGAAATTTAAAAACGCAACAATCACCCAGTCATTTTGGATTTGTGTTTGAGGAAAACACGAGCATGGAAATCACGTGATTATCGTGACGCCATCATTTTCGAAAAGCTCCGTTTTAGAAATCTTTTCCGTCCACACTAAAACGCAAAACCGGAACCGAAATTCTTCCGGTTTGAAGAGCGTTTTCGAAAAGCTTCATTTTCATGACGGATTGGTGTGGACGATAGGCATAGCCGAAATAAAGCTGCGTTTTCAAACTGTGATTTCTCCGGCGTAGTGAGGAAGGAGTCACAGATGCCATCTTAGCTGCCGATTCCAGACCCACGCCTCTCACTACCAACCCCTCTGCCACGTCTCCTCCACGCTTGTTTAACTTGGTACGTGATAGAATTTCATCGTGTTTTCGATACGTGAAATGATTTCCTTGAAGGATATTCTTCTGGACACTTGACGGGTTATATATTGGTTGGTGAACGCGATATAAACTAGCACTTTCTTTGTATTTGTTTTTCGTGCCATTTTAAAAACAACGGTGCGCTGAAACTCGGCTTTTCTTGATATACGCCCGTGTAAAAACAACGTTTGAAGAAACTGTTTTTCTAACCTTATTCTGAATTTGGTGGCGAGCGAAGCAAACATTATTAAATTCAACGATTGGGGCGTTTTTTTCGTGCACGAATTACTTGGCCTAAATATCATTTTGAAAGAGGCCGCTGATCGCTGTCGGGCGCATATCGCCAGAAGATACCTAGTGCCTATATAATTACGACGACTGCACGATTTGAAAACGTTCAGCAGAAACCGGCAATAATTTGATTTTTGAACTGATTAACACCTGGTCAACAATCAGTACAACGTTTTTTCGTTATAAAATTCTTGGACGAGAAAAGCACCGTTACTCACCGCCATACCACACCCAGCCGAATACGTGAAAAACACGTTCCGTTAGTCTAATACGCTCAACCAAATCTGCAACTTCATAGTTTAATTTCCGGCATATAATTAACTCAGGTTAATTTGTAATGCAGTTAAAATGCCGCAAACTAACAGCTCCAGTAGGAAGACAGTCGCGTAAGCGGGCACATGTCGGTAGTCCTGATCTCAGCTCCAACACAGTCATCACAATTTTAATCACCCACAATACAAGCGGACACCTCTCCTAAGTGGAGATAATTTTTAAAAATGCATAGAACTTTCGTTCTCACAACCAGCAAGGTTAAGTTATTTTAACAAAATATGACTGGGAATTGAAAAAAAAAACATAACAAATAACGAAACAAACAAACAGAACCAAAAACAAAGTACAACAACAAGAATCTTTGACTTGTCTCCTTACAGCTTCCTTATACTTCCTGTAATGCGTGTTGTGAGAATTTCTTCATTCATCAAAGTGATTAGCTTTGTTTACGCATCGATTTCAGACCCATGACTCTCGCTACCAATCTCTCTACCGCGTCTCCTCCACGTTTGTTTAACTTGGTACGTGATAGAATTTCATCGTGTTTTCAATACGTGAAATGATTTCCTTGAAGAATATTCTTGTGGACTTGACGGTTTATGTATTGATTGGTGAACGCGATACAAACTAGCACTTTCTTTGAATTTGTTTTTCGTGCCATTTTAAAAACAACGGTACGCTGAAACTCGACTTTACTTGATATACGCCTGTGAAAAATGATGTTTAAAGAAACTATATCTTAATTTTAACCTAGCTTAATTTGGTGTCGAGCGAAGCAAACACTATTAAATTCAAACATTGCAGCATTTTTAGTGCACGAATTACTTCGTCTAAATGTTATTTTGAAAGCGGCCGCTGATCGCTATTGGGCGCATATCGCTAGAACATATTTAGTGCCTATATACATGCGATGATAGCACTGAATTAAAAACGTTCCACAGAAATCGGCAGTAACTTGATTCTTTGACCTGATTAACAACTGGTTCAGCACAAGGTTTTTTTTTTTCAGAAAATCCTTGGACGAGAAAAGCACCGTTAATCACCTCACCGCGATACCACACATAGCAGTGAAAAACAAGTTCCGTTAGGTCTAATACACTCAACCAATCTGCAACTTCATAGTTTAATTTCCGGCATATAATTAACTCAGGTTAATTTGATATACGCCCGTGTAAAAATAATGTTTGAAGAAACTGTATTTCTAACATTATTTAATTTGGTGGCGAGCGAAGCAAACATTATTATATTCAAACATTGCGGCGTTTTTTGGTGCACGAATTACTTGGCCTAAATATTATTTTGAAAGAGGCCACTGATTTCTATCGGGAGCATATCGCTAGAAAATATGTAGTGCTTAAAGATGCGATGATTGCACTGATTTAAAAACGTTTCATAGAAATAGGCAATAATTTGATTATTTGACCTGATTAACAACTGGATCAGTCCAACGCTGTTTTCTTCAGAAAATCCTTGGACGAGAAAAGCACCGTTAATCACTTCACCGCGATGCCACGCCCAGCGGAATACGTGAAAAACACGTACCGTTAGATCTAATACACTCAACCAATCTGCTGAACTTCATAGTTTAATTTCCGGCATATAATTTCAAACACATTTCTTCTTAGTTGCAAATTGACCCCCTTTGAAAAAAAATTCACGAACGTTAACCTACAACTACATAACTTCCGACTTTCATTCATTCGCTAATATATCACCGCTACTTACTGCTTCGATGCTTGTCTATCGTAAGTTAACATTCTTTCACGCCTGTTCCGCAGCAAATCATAGGTAACAATTTATAATCCAAAATGATGAATAACACCATGAATACCGAGGAATAATAATTGTGTCTTAACGCCTGAGAACACAACCCAAGGAGACCCCTAAACTTTAAGTGAAGGTGTGGTATCTTTTTGAGCTTAAAATTCGGCCATGTACCACTCAGGGTATTTGCATCTCTTAAATGGCCACCACTAACCTGACCTTGATTTATTGCAGAGCGCGCAGTTGCTGTCAGTCATTGGGTGACAGCATGTCTGTCTGGGGATTTTCAAGATGCTACAGAAGCAAGGCAAAACAGCATGACAGAAAAAGAAACGAAAAAGGAGCCCATAAAAATACACGCTAACTTGTTATAAATCAAACGATTTTAAAGAACCTTAACACAGATTTCTGCATTGCGGAGCTATATTTCTAATAACCGGTCCCTACCGGCCACTTTAAGTTGGATCGCGTAACTTGAAAATGCCTCGTTTTAAAATCACTTAACTTTTTGTTTTGTTGATTAGTAATGCAGTTAAAATTGCCGCAAACTAACAGCTCAACTAGGAGGTCAGTCGCGCAACTGGGCACGTATCAGTAGTCCTAACTCTAGTCTGGTCAGCCGAAACGTTGTTGTGTCAGCCTTGCAGTAGTCTATGACTTCTCATCGTTTTACTTTTCAAGTTTGCCTAGTTAGATCTCCTGTGAGTCCCAGCGTTCAATTAAGGATCTTTGCTCACGGCTTTGCAGCTTATTTCGTTTCAGTTATATAGTCATCACAATTTTAATCACCCACAATACAAGCGGACATGGACTTACTCCTCTTCTATTTGAAGATATTTTTAGAAACTGTATAGAACTCTCGTTCTCACAACGTGCAAGGTTATTATAACAGAATGTGACTGTAAAGAAAAAAGTAAAGAAAGAAACAACCAGACAAAAGATAAATTAAAGTACAAAAACAACGAAATCGACAACCAAAACAATAAGCTAACCATTAGAGCTTTTTAACTGATTGTTCTCGTGGTTTACATGCAAAACCCTTAACTTCTTAGAATCTTTATCCTGAACATCTACCTTCGAGTTTCAGCCTAAAATGTCCCCTTACGGCTTACCTATACTTCCTGTATTACGTGTTGTGAGAATTTCAAAACTCATCAAAATGATTTGCTTTGTCTGCACATCGATTTCATACCCATGTCTCTCTCTATCAACCCCTCTACCAACGTCTGAACCAGGCCTGCTGGTACGTGATAGAATTTCATCGTGTTTTCGATACGTGAAATGATTTCCTTGAAGAATATTCTTGTGGACTTGACGGTTTAAATATTGGTTGGTGAACGCGATACAAACTAGCACTTTCTTTGAATTTGTTTTCGTGCCAAATTAAAAACAACAGTCCGCTGAAACTCGGCTTTACTTGATATACGCCCGTGTAAAAATAATGTTGAAGAAACTGTATCTTAATTTCAACCTTAATTTGGTGGCGAACGAAGCAAACATTGTTATATTCAAACAATGCGGCGTTTTTTCGAGCACGAATTACTTAGCTTAAATATTATTTTGAAAGAGGCCGCTGATCGCTATCGGGCGCATATCGCTTGAACATATCTAGTGATTACATAGATGCAATGATTGCACTGATTTGAAAAAGTTCCATAGACATCGGCAGTAGCTTGATCCTTTGACTTGATCAACAACTGAATCAGTAAAACGATTTTGTACAACCCTTGGACGAGAAAAGCACCGTTAATCACTTCACTGCGATACCACACCCAGCAGAATACGAGAAAATACACGAACCGTTAGATCTGATACACTCAACCAATCTCCTGAACTTCATAGTTTAATTTCCGGCATATAATTTCTTCTTAGTTGTTAAAATATTCATGAACGTTAACCCAGAACTACGTAACTCCCGACTTCCAAGAATCTTTGTCTTGTCTCCTTACAGCTTCCTTATACTTTCTGTACTAGGTGTTCTGAGAATTTCATCGCTCATCAAAATTATTTGCCTATGGAGATTTAAGATGCTGATCTGAATTCATCACAACAGATTTTGACTAGCCATTACTCCAAAATACTTTTTGGGAGGATGTATGGATAAAAATCCTTCTGAAATGAGAAATTCAATTGGGAATGGAGTTTAAACTAAAAGGCGAACAGTTACCAATAAACAAGGGACTAGATCATCGCAGTGATTAAAATTGTCTTTGATGTAACTGTTCAGTAGATTTTAACGTCTAATTTGAACGTATTTTTCCGGGTTTCTTTCCATTTTAAGACTATTCTGTATGTTAGAGTCACACCAAACCGCCTAAACTATCTCGACCTAGCCCTTCGAAAAGGCCTCGAGATACAGGTTCTCCCAGCCAGTTGTAAGATATTAAGGGGTGAAACAGAATCAACACAAGAATTAATGTTGAAACATATATTTCTTTTATTTACATCCAATGATGTCGGTTTTTCTCACCAAATTATGCGACATTAAAAAGTCGCGTACAAAATTGTAAAAAATATTATAAATTATCTATTTCGTTTTCTTTCACAATTGATAAAGATCTCCGCATAAGCAAATATACAATATTATTTATAAGACGTTTCTTGTGTCATAAATATTTTATGCAGTTTGCATCTCTTAAAATATACAGTCGCTGCCTTCAACATCAACGAAAATGTAATGTACTAACTAGAAAAGTACCTAAAAGACCTCTAATTCGTTATTTACAGTAACTGTACAGAGAAACCGTCTGGTAACGTTTTAAAAGGTGTTTTTGGAAAGCAGTCTTTGTAACAAAACCATGTTTCAACTCTTAAATCGGCAACAACAACAGAAAAGCTTCTCCGAAAAAATTGTCTATAAAGATTTTTCACGTTTGTGTTAAAAATAGAGAGCGAATCCCTAAAGGTTGTTTAGAAAATATTCGCGTTCAGAAACGAATTACAAGCTTCTGTATTTTCCTTTTTTTTTTTTCTAAATAAATAGAACTTTGGTTAAAAATAATTCCTCTTAGGAGCGCCTTATGTTTCTGCTAATTCAACAGCAGAGGAAGTCAATTTATTTATAAAGTTCTTTTTTTATGTTGTTTTTCGCGTATATTTTGTACAATGTCTATGCGTAGTACGTCATTCCTGCTCCCAGGGGATGTCCATACATCTGTCTTGACTGGGGGTAGGCTGGTGGGGCTCGCGCCCAATAGGACATTGGGTAACAGCTGTTGGCGGCTGGATGTGGAAACAGGGAGGAAGCAGCGGGAAAACCGGCATAGAAATCAGAGCCTGGGAACTTGTAAGCGGCTTGAGCATGCGCCTGAGCGTCGGACGTGATTGGTTGATTAAGCTGGGCGAGTCCTTGGAAGTCAAATTTATAGGCGTATCTCTTGCCGTGGATTTTGGTCATGATGTTCTTGTCGTAATAGTATCGCAGAGCTCGGCTAAGCTTGTCGTAGTTCATGTTGGGCTTGTTCTTGCGCTCGCCCCACTTTCGGGCGACTTCGTCGGGATCCACGAGTTTGAATTCGCCGTTGGCGCCTTCCCAAGCGATGCAAGTCGAGTTCTTGGGGTCAGATAAGAGCTCGAGGAGGAACTGCCACAGTTGGATCTGTCCGCTGCCTGTGCTTGAGGGCTCAGGGCGGTTGGCAATGTTGCCACTGGAGAAAGAGCTCGGGAGAGCCTGGGACTCGGGAACAGACATTGGTCTCGATGGGACAACACTGTCTTTCATGTGCGACAGTCTTGCAGTTGAAGATGGAGCCGTCCATGAAGCTTGGCTTCTCTCTAAGGATTCTAGAAACAAATAGAAAAAAACAAACATTTAGAAAAATACAGAGAAAAACAACTAAATCAGAATCAACAATAAGAAAAGTAATCATGTGAAAACCCTTTCTTCGTGTGTGTGTTTTGTTTGAGAGAAAATACATTAAATCTCAACTCACCATTTGAATTGAATCGCCCCTGAAGACCATGTTCTGAGCTCCTGGGAACCACTGATGGATTACTTGTGATAACAGGGTGTTGTCTTGAATCAAACAGAGGCGGCGAGGGAGTGTGATAAGTCGCTAAAAAGGAAAATAACAAAAAATATTTGTAAGTTTACTGTTTCAATACAATACATGTAACTCAATCAAATCAGCTCAAGCTGTATCAATTCAGATTTGCACAAACAAGATCTTCGCGGGGGGACAAGAGCTTTGCTATCTAGGGGTATTGCTTTACAGCTGAGTTTGAAAGGATAAGAGATCAAGACAGATAACGAGAAAAAGAAAAAAAAAAGGAGAAATTTCTTCAACTACCTTGGGTTGAGGCGGGAGCGAGTGCGCTGTCGATGTCATCAGACGTGAGATTTGGGAGGGGAGCTGAAAGAAACAGAACAAATGGGTGAGTAAACAAAGTTGCGTCAAAAACAACAAGTTTTAACGCACACAAGAAAGGTATCAATAACTTCAAGTTTTGAAGACGTTGCGTGCTCGCTTCTCACTTTAAAATTTCAAGTATCTACTTACACCTCCACCCCACTGAAAATTAGATTTGTCCTAATCCAATTTATTTTCCTACCACCCCATCATTACGCAGCAAAAAACTTCTACTCTTTGAAGAGCATACGAAATTTTCCTCAAGAACACCGGGTTTTCCTTTCATTTTCACTCCATTTTCTTCGCTATTGACAATTGGTTAAGAACACAACTTACTTTTTCGTAGAACACACAAATGGGCCATGAGGATGTCTCCATTGTAAGCTGGGGCGAGTTTCATAAAGCCTTCTCTGGTCAGCTTGCAAAGTTGTTTTCCGTCCATGTCAAATCGGTCGGCGTCGATATCTTTGAGGCTAAATTCCTTGATTGCCCATTGAATCCACTGGCGAACATGTTCCTTGGTCCAGCACAAAGGATCTGATTAATAACGCAAAATGAAACAGAAATTTAGTCGAGTAACACAGAGATCTTACTTAAAATAATGACTTGCTTGAGTGGCTTTGTAACTTTAAATTGTAGGGGAATGTTTTTTTATGAGGGTTTATGCCCTAAATCTGGGCAATAATTCTGAATTTCAAAATTTTTTAAGTCGGTAATATAAGAGGGCACTATCAAGTGTGTTTGGCAAGTTTTGACTTTTTTAACGAACAAGAAATCAAAAACAAGCTTTATTTGAAACTCGAAAGGAAATAATAGCGTGTTTCAAAAATATAACTTCAATCCCTGTGTTCTCTTTGGGTTAGAAAAAGATACCCTCGCCCAGCGGGAAGTTCTTTTTTATTATCAAAATTAGGCAATCTATATTTGCATCTTCCGGTGAAGTCGATCTTGAACATTATCTCTACATAGTTGAAATTCAAGTTTGGCGAAGGCTACTTTCTCGACTAACTTTGATTTCGTGTTCGAATCCTTTATCGCGTAACTTCTAATCGTCTGCGGTTAACGAGTAAACGCTCTCATTTTCACGTCCCGAGGTCAAACTCAAATAGCTGGGGTGCGGTTTGAAGCAAGACCGCCCTAAATCCCCCTCTTATAAAGACTTACAAAGCCTTGAATACTTCTACGAAACCCAATCAGCGAGTAATACAGAGTAACACGAGCCGATGAGTGTTTCAGCTGATCTTAGAGTGACACTCGATCTCTTGGGTGTGTCGTGAAGTGTCGAGAGCTCTTAGACAAAATTTGACAATTTGAATTTGTTAAACTTACCAGCTGGAACGATGACTCGTTTCTCGTGCGAAAGATTTTGTGGGACAGGGGAGGGCGAGTTTCTCTCGACGAAATCATTGCTCGGGACGTAGGGTCTCTTCGCGAGTGGTTCCTCGAGTTCGGCTTCAAGAGGCCGCTTCTTGCTGAAGTAATTCCCATCGCTTTTGTGCGTTGGTTTCAGCGGCTTGTAGGGATCGTTGAATGAAGAATCGAAAAGCGATTGGTCATCTGGAAGCAGCTCCTAGAAAGAAAAGCGTAAAGGATTTTTATTAGAACCTTCACAGAAAAACCGCGCGGTCTTTCAAATACAAATTAGCGTTGAGCAGAAGTTTCTGCTAATAGAGCGGCCAAAACAACAGCAGAATCTGTTTTGACTAGATGTGTTACCCAATTATGCACATGGTAATAACGTGAAATCTTTTTCTTGTCTCTGTTTTGTGGACAAATGGATTGAAAGCGGCTCATAACAAAACCATTCTAACACTACCTTCATCAAAATGCTAAAGGAACAATTAACTCTTTTCAACCGCAACAAAAAAAATCCCGAGTCATCACAAGTTTTCAAAACGCACGTATTCCTCCATCGAAATTTATTGCGCAAAAATGAACTGTACTCACAACATTTAAAAAGTCAAGAAGTTCTAAAAGTAACCGTATAAAAATATCTTGAAAAATAAGAAATTTTAGCCGAGTCTCTGTGTGTCTACGTTTAGAAAATAAGACATTAACACTTTTAGGACAAACAATTAAGCGGCCCAAGCATTCCTTCACACGAAGCGGCAACTTACGGAGTCAACATTTCATGTTTTTAAGCGATATTGGAAAACCCCAACTACTAATATCAAACCAAATAAAACATGAAAAAAAATCAGAAATCACAAACTTTCTAAACGGCGAACAGTTTCTCACTTTGTGTTTGATTCGAGTGAAAGCACCGTCGATTTAAATCACTGTCGAAACTCGTGAAGATAATTGAACGAGTTAAGTAAAGTTAGCTTACTTGAGCATAGACCGATGGGTCGGGGACAACGTTGTGTTCAGCGCTCAATCCGTACATGTTTCTATGATATTTCTAAAGAATAACAAGACAAATAACAAATGTTAAAAGGCAGAGAAGTTAAAAAAGCACATCCAAATCACACCAAGGAATTATGAGAATACTTCTTTCACTACAGCGGGCTTCTTGTGAAATCAAGTGAAATTAGTCAGTTATAATGAAGGTACTAACCTGAAGTAACTTGGCGGTAGTTTGAAAATGTAGTTTAAGGTCTTTGACTGGTTGTAAGTTCGTCGATCGGTTAAAATCGCGAGTATCGGAATGTATTAAATAAATTCGTGAAGTTTTCTGGATTGATGATCTTGAAAATAATTTTCGCAACAACCCGAAGTGATCCTGTGTAGATAAGTCTGCTGTAGTGTTCCGGTAACTGCGGAGATTTGATATCCGTTCGAATAATACAATCGGTATCCTCTTCTGTAGCTTCTCGCGCTACTCAGGGTTTTAATTCAACTGGCGTTCCAGCACTGAGCCACTCGGCTTTATACATCAAGTGTCAAAATTCGTTTTAGAGGAGGTGGGCCGGTTTATGACAGTTCGGCGATAGGAGGCAAATGTTTGTGACAAGACGAACCAATGAGCGTGCGCCCACTTGAAAAACAATAATTCCCTGGAGTGTTCTTCGACACCCACGCACGACACGCCTTGATGACGTAAGCAAAAGGTCGTAACCCCTTGTCTGACTATAATCAAATGAACAATATCCAGATTGTTACTGCCATCCAATCACGTCCGCAATTCGCGATAAAGCCCTGACTGTGCTCAGAAAAGATAAACACTGCTATCATGTGATCCATATGACATTTTACCAAGGTAAACGTTTTAACAACAGAAAATCAATATTTCCCAGAAAGGGCAGCGTTTTTACGCGTCGTACGTGATAACGACGTACTGCGAGAAGTGTAACGAAATTTCTCGCCTTAATTTTAACTCTAGAAATAGAGAACAGTGAAAGATTAGAACAGGACAAATTAAATTTTGCTATTTGATCTCTACGTTGATGATCAAGAACGCTCTCGAGGGAGTGTAACACTAGACGGTGGCTAAATAATCCTTTCAAAGGTCGACTGTAATCTGACAGACGCGTTAGCGCGTAGCGTGCGATGGGGAAAAATATCTATCAATGCATTTTATTCCACGTTGTTTACCGGGTTTCCCGAATCAAACAAAACTCGGAAATTCAATTTTAACCCTCTTTGTGTGGCTCGAGACGGTGACAGAGATTCCAGGCGAAATCTAGAGTACGTGGTAGAATGCGCTTTCGCCGTACTCCTTAATCTGACACGTCACGAAGGATTGTTTCTTGTCATTTCACAAATATCTTTCACTTGCTAATCAAGTCTTTGTGTTTCTGGTCCCAGGGGACAGGGTGGGGCGCTTAAGCAATTTACCGCCAAATTACTCTCAATGAATGAATGAAATGAATCGCGCTTCGTTGATTTCGTGATGAATGCCGCCGCCGCCAAATCATGTTTCGATTTTGGCGGGTAACCTAACTAAACAACGACCGCGAAGATAAGTCCACTCGAGAAACGAATAAATCGTAAGTCACACTTGATGTTTCGCTATCCGTGTTTCTTTTGATGCGATACAGAGTAGAGAGTATGGTGCTTCGTGTGTTAATGAATACATCTTTCTGTTTTATACATGTCTTGCGGGCGGGAGCAATTTTTACCAGTTCGAAGATTTGTTTTGATGGCATGGAATCAAGCCCTGGGGTGATGGATTTAAACACATAATGGAGGTCGTGTTGTTGTGAAAAAAACCCAAAGCAAATTAAAGCTCGGATTGGTGTTGTTTTGCTTTGAATCTTAAATGACGTTATTAAGATTGTTTACTCGTCTGTGACGAAATCACGGAGCGTGATTCCGGCACACTGATCAAAAGTTGACAATGGAAGGGCTTCTAGGAAACGATAAGACGTTTTTTATACGCTGGCGATTGGATTTGATTTCCCGTCCGACGTTTTCTGTCCTGAAATGATAAATGTTGGCTTAGAAATTGAAAACAAAAGATTCGAAATACTAATTCCACTAAATATCAAACCCCTGATGTCGTTACTTGACGCATGTTACTGATTGCGCCATGCGGAATATTCACGAAGGACCTGGAGGGTTCCAAATCATTGCGCCCTCAAAATACGCATACAAATTAGCCATTACGTGAAAGTGTCAACGTTTGAGTTCTCACGTACGACTTCAAACCGTGAACATGACTCGGTTATACCACTAAATCTTCTTCGTAAATCGGGATTATTCTAGGAACTTCGACTTTCTGGCCTACGTTGAGCATTGTATTGAAAACAACTCGAAAACACGCAGTGATTGAATGAAGATTGCTTTAGTAATCCTTTCCTCTCTAAAGCAAGATTTGCACCACCTTGTAACACGGGAGTAACAAGGTGCCACTTCAAGCGGTGACATCCCACGCGTTTTATTTACAGTCATTTTCTCTTTTCCGGCCGAAAATTAGGGTAAAGTTTAAACTGTCGCCATATTTTCACGAAAACAACTCGCCGCCGGTCGTTCATAATACGATTTGATAGTTGCACGCGTGCGTGCAATATTCCTGCGCCCATTAGGGTCTCTCCGTGTTTTTTGTTTGCTATTTTCAGAGTTTGATTGCTTACGACAGTGTGAATAAGGTTTGGCCACAAAACCACACTGCTAAAGGTGAAAATTATCGAACAGAAATAGGTAACAAATCGTGTTGACAGGGAGCATTGTGAAGGCCTTGTAGAAGGCACGTAGAAGAAGAGACTGAAGCCCGCTCGGTTGGGATCTGAAGAAAGCCGCATATCTCAGCCGCATACGTCGGAACAGACTTTGTGTTCTCCATGCTGTTGTTATGTCACAGCTTTTGAGCTGAGAGGAGTTTAGTTTTTAACGCTGTAACGATGAACGTTTTTACACAATGTACTAATTCACTTCTATATTTTCCGCAAGAAACTGCAAAGGTCTGCATAGAGAGGCCCCTTAATTACATTTATGCACCTCGCGCACTAAATTCCGTTCTAAAAGGCAGGCCCTGTCAAAACTCACAGCTTTTTCTCTTCTTCGTCTGGCCTGGGCAATCAGACAGTCAAAACATTCATCAAGTTCCTCACGACCACGCGCGGAAATTCACAGCGGAACGAGAACTACAGAAATATAAATGGACCACAATTCAATTCCGATATCTCCAAGAGAGCTCTCGAGATGAAGAAAATGCCCCCTATTTCAAGAGGGAATATATCTCCAAATTGGGTGAGAAAAAGCTAGGTTCTATTCTGGATATTTTCCACACACATGGCTTTGACAACCCGGCCTTTTGTAACCTGGGTAGCGCTCAGTTGAATTTGATACGTTGGACAAGAAGCTAAAGAATCAAAATCCTACCACCTTTTGGAGATATAGACAAAACCCAAAAGTTTTCTTTTTTTTCACTTGTTGTTTTCCTCAATCATTCTCCTTTCACAGGAAAGTAAATAAGCACTCACGTCAATAAAAATATTGGTGAAACTTTCCCCAAATGGAATGCGGACATTTTTTTATCAAAAAACCCTGATTTCTACCATTTTACACAGAATTAGAATTAAAAACTTAGCATCGACGATGACAAAAGGTTTAAGTAGCGGAAGCTCGTAGACGATTTTGAAAGATTGTTCGTAATTCCTGAAGCACCGCCACGAGTTCTGTTTTAAGACGGGAACAAAGGGACAAAAATAGAAATCCGAATTCAGTTCAAAGAATTCCTTCGGTAGAAATTTTGATCTATTCCAAGATTCCTGCGAATTAGCAATTAGCGGGAAAATAGCAACAGCAGATAACCGCAGTTTACCATGGCGCATATATAATTATTTTTTATTTCTTTTCGATGAAATGAAAGCGAAACCCTCCAGGGTAACCCCATGCTGAAAACTGTTCATCATTGTATTAGATCCTGTTGTTGCTTCTGATGATGGTGCAAACCCGGAAAACAATCTTCAATACGTCAAGATTATCTACTCCGATTTTATTGTATACCATCACTCCGTGTCCTGCTGAAAACAAAATGAAAGATTCACAAAAGAGGTTGAGATGAAACGGAAAAGCACGCCCATACAGCGACTTCCGCCAGGGGTAACGTCCATCGTTATCACGCCCATCAGGGAGATAATAAACTAGATGACTAGACTGCCATGCTTGATATTTTCCTTATTGACCTGATATTTTTGGGGGCGTTGATAAACTGTCGTTCCAGTGTGTAAATAAATACTGATAGCTTTTGAACTTGTAAAAACCCGCGATGTTATTCCAACAAAACTGTTTGAAAGGACCATAACCCTAATTCTGACTTTTTTCTACTAAGCAGGAAATTGATATTTGTGTGGGCCACGCTTTTTTGTTAAAGCGTAACAATATTACACTGCAATGAAATTAAAATTGTCGCCGGCATTACCAACAAAAACACGTTTTCAGTCCAAGGGATCGTTGATCTTTTGATAGAAGTTTTAAAAATACAACAACGCCCCCTTGAGAAAACAAAACTACAACAATAGAAATGGGCAATAGTTTAAAATGAAAGGTTGAAAAGGAATAAAAACAAATTGAAAATAGACGATAACTTTACACCGTTTTGGACCCAATCTAGGCGTAGAAATACGACAATTGCGCGCAAAGATGATATTAAAAGATTTTTTTTTTTNAACCAAATAAAACATGAAAAAAAATCAGAAATCACAAACTTTCTAAACGGCGAACAGTTTCTCACTTTGTGTTTGATTTGAGTGAAAGCACCGTCGATTTAAATCACTGTCGAAACTCGTGAAGATAATTGAACGAGTTAAGTAAAGTTAGCTTACTTGAGCATAGACCGATGGGTCGGGGACAACGTTGTGTTCAGCGCTCAATCCGTACATGTTTCTATGATATTTCTAAAGAATAACAAGACAAATAACAAATGTTAAAAGGCAGAGAAGTTAAAAAAGCACATCCAAATCACACCAAGGAATTATGAGAATACTTCTTTCACTACAGCGGGCTTCTTGTGAAATCAAGTGAAATTAGTCAGTTATAATGAAGGTACTAACCTGAAGTAACTTGGCGGTAGTTTGAAAATGTAGTTTAAGGTCTTTGACTGGTTGTAAGTTCGTCGATCGGTTAAAATCGCGAGTATCGGAATGTATTAAATAAATTCGTGAAGTTTTCTGGATTGATGATCTTGAAAATAATTTTCGCAACAACCCGAAGTGATCCTGTGTAGATAAGTCTGCTGTAGTGTTCCGGTAACTGCGGAGATTTGATATCCGTTCGAATAATACAATCGGTATCCTCTTCTGTAGCTTCTCGCGCTACTCAGGGTTTTAATTCAACTGGCGTTCCAGCACTGAGCCACTCGGCTTTATACATCAAGTGTCAAAATTCGTTTTAGAGGAGGTGGGCCGGTTTATGACAGTTCGGCGATAGGAGGCAAATGTTTGTGACAAGACGAACCAATGAGCGTGCGCC